CCCGCAGGCAGGGGCAAAATGCAAATGATATGCAAGAAGCCGGACATAACTCAATGATCATGCAAATGCAGCAAGCTGTAATGAAGCAAGTATTCGCAAATAGATGCAACAGTTTTAAGCAAGAATGCAAAGCAACAACTACATTTCATGCAGTTAAGAATGCGGAGAATTATTCAATCCTCGCCACGTCTCACACGGAGAAGATACGATACCTGCGCGATTCGTTTGGTCGCACCATCCTTAAATGAACCGTACATACAATATCGTGCCTGCAAAAGAGAGAAATTGCAACAAGTACAATATGCTACCAACATATATTCAATACGATTTTGGGAGTTTGACACACGCAGTGCCGGTGAGTGAATGCATCGCAATGCAAGAGTGGGACGTGCGTGACAACGCATGCTCAAACATGGAGGTATGCCAATATCAAGAAATGTGTACAGAAATGCAAGTGTGCTCATGAGAATGTAAGTTATGTGCATGATAGTGCGGAACGAGCATGAATCAGGGTGCCCGTTTGTCATGAAATAACGAGTACGGAAATGCGTGTTTCGGCGAAGGCAACTCGATCACGGCCTCCGATCCAATTCCGGGAAAGGTTACAACTCATCCAAAAGGGATATACTTTGATTTTGATGAATGATGATGAGACACATGTCAGATCTTGAAGCTGAAGTTTCGACGGAGCAATTTCGCCACCGGAAGTATACTTTTCTTGAACTTTTTCAGGTCCCGGGAACTCCAATCTTCCTCAAAATTTGCAGGGAGCTAGGTGAGCCTGTGAGGGATATGGCCGGCCGGTTTTATGGGGGATAGGAGGTGGCCAACCGGTTTTCCAAAAAGCAAATGGCTGGCCGGCCGGTTTTCCAAAAAGGAAATGGCTGGCCGGCTAGAAAAGGTGGCCGGCCGGCCATATGCCCAAATCCGAGGGCATTTTGGTCTTTTCACCTCCTTTCTTCATGCTTCTTTATCCAAGACCTTGAGCCTATATAAGGCAGCCGAGATCTTCTCCTTCCTCACCTCCTACACCACTTTCTTCTCCAGATCTGAGTTCCGTGCGCGTTTTCCAACGCCCCACGCAAGTTATTCTCGGAAAAATATTCAGTTTCAAGCACTTTGAAGCGATTAAATTTCGGTTTCGGAGCTTCTTTTCTCAATTCCGCCACTTGAGGTGAGTTTGTCTCAATATTTGGATGATTTTCTCGGGGGTTGACTTTTGTTGACTTTTTTATTTCTCGAGAGTTGCCTTTTGTTGACTTTTTCCAATTTTGGCTCATTCCCGCTCATTTTTGCTTTCTTTGCAGATCTTTCGAAGATGGCAGGTAATTCTCCCCACGGTGGAGGTTTTCCGGGTGCCGGGGATGATTTTGATCCCATGACTTTGCCCCCGAGGACCCGACCTTTTATTCCCGGGAGGTACGCTCCGCCGGCACATGTCCTTCCGCGTGCCGTTTTCCGTCATTTCACTAGCTTTGACGAGCGAGCACCTGGGGATCTGCTTCTCCGAGAGCCAGAGCATCACCTCTCTCATGAGGCTCGAGAGGTATTTACTTCACTTTCTGCATTTTTCGTAGATTTCGCACCTTTGCCATGCTTGAACACGCAGTCTAGCTTATGACATAGTACTTTGCTTGTATCCTGAACATGTAGTTTAAACACTCGAATTTCTGAGCACTCGGCTCATTAATTAATTGCGAACACACAGTACACATTAGTTTAGAGGTGAACACACGGCTCAAACACCGATTTGTCGAACACACAGCCCGAATTCGAAAGTGAACACACAGCCCACACTTTAAATTTTCTGAACACACAGCCCAGATTAAATAGTGAACACGCAGCCCACACTGATTGAAAGTTGAACACGCAGCCCAAACTTTAAATTTTCTGAACACGCAGCCCAGATAGATAGGGAACACGCAGCTCACAATTTAACTGAAAGTTGAACACGCAGCCCAAACTTCAAATTTTCTGAACACGCAGCCCAGATATATAGTGAACACGCAGCCTACAATTTAACTGAAAGTTGAACACGCAGCCCAAACTTTAAATTTTCTGAACACGCGGCCCAGATAGATAGTGAACACGTAGCCCACAATTTAACTGAAAGTTGAACACGCAGCCTAAACTTAAAATTTTTCTGAACACGCAGCCCAGATAGATAGTGAACACGCAGCCCACAATTTAACTGAAAGTGGAACACGCAGCCCAAACTTTAAATTTTCTGAACACGCAGCCCAGATAGATAGTGAACACGCAGCCCACAATTTAACTGAAAGTTGAACACGCAGCCCAAACTTCAAATTTTCTGAACACGCAGCCCAGATAGATAGTGAACACGCAGCCCACAATTTAACTGAAAGTTGAACACGCAACCCAAATTTCAAATTTTCTGACAGCTCATACATCACACCTTGCACACACAGTTCACGCATTCCATTGGCACACAGCCCATTCATTTCATTGGAACACAGCCCATTCATTTTATTGGCACACAGCTCATTCATTTTATACTGACACATGTATTCATTCTGAATGCAGGTTGGTTCTCGCAGTGTGCGGGGGTATGGCTCCACCGCCGCGCGGGACTGGTACGCTGAGCTCCCGGAGGGTGTCCGAGATTTAGTGGACTTGGCAGGATTCGGGCCCTTCTGCGTCGGGTTGTCACGTTGTCCTGCCAAGAGGACACTGATGGCGGCACTGGTAGAGAGATGGTGGGACACCACCAACTCCTTTCATTTCTCTGCCACTGGAGACATGACCATGACGCCTCTGGACTTCGCTGTGTTGACTGGTCTGGACATAGGAGGTTGGTCCATCCCCTATGACGAGGACATGGGCGAGTGGGAGGCCGCTTGGACATGTTTATTGGGGGCTCGCCCGCCTGTTGAAAGGGTTTCTGGGAGAGTCCGATACACCTGGTTCTCTTCCCACTTCCAGCGGGCGGAGATGGTGCCCGAGACTCCTGAGGAGACGGAGTAGTACGCCCGTGGTTTCCTTATGTTCCTCTTCGGGACTACCTTGTTCGCCGATAGAGGGAACACAGTCGGGTTATACCTGCTGAGCGCTCTGGTTGACCTATCACAGGTCAGTCGATATGACTGGGGTGGCGCCGGCCTGGCTACCCTTTACTTTTATATGAGCGCGACCTCCCGCGGGCGGGGCGATTTACTTGGCGGCTCCTGGAGAGCCTGGGAGGTACTTTTCTGTCCCCTTGATTTACATTTCTGCTTTTCATTTCTTGTACATTGCACACACAGCGCACTTTTACAGTCTGTATTTTGCTCTCAGCATTTTGTACTTACATTCTGCACTGCTTTTCTCAGCTATGGGTCTATGTATACTTCCCAGCATTAGCCCCAGAGTTGGAGGTGCAGGGCCCCCCATGACCCCATATTCACTAGTGTTCGAGGGCCCGCACCGGCCGAGACCTCGAGAGACCCTCCTTTACCTGCGACAGTACTTTGACACTGTGCGACATTCAGAGGTACCTCAGAACTTTCAGTTCCTTTCATTTTCATCTTAGATTTGCTCTGTATATTCTCGATTTCTGATTGGTTTATGCATTTATCATCCGCAGATCACATGGCAGCCCTGGGCGCCCCTGGGTGATGGTCTCCGACTTCAGTATACCGGGGTATCTTTCTCAGCTATGGGTCTATGTATACTTCCCAGCATTAGCCCCAGAGTTGGAGGTGGCAGGGCTTCCCATGACCCCATATTCACTGGTATTCGACGGCCCGCACCGGCCGAGACCTCGAGAGACTCTCCTTTACCTGCGACAGTACTTTGACACTGTGCGACATTCGGAGGTACTTCAGAACTTTCAGTTCCTTTCATTTTCATCTTTGATTTGCTCTGTATATTCCCGATTTCTGATTGGTTTATGCATTTATCATCCGCAGATCACATGGAAGCCCTGGGCGCCCCTGGGTGATGGTCTCCGACTTCAGTATACCGGAGGGTCGGACATCTCCCAGTATAGGGTCCTGCTCGAAGGGCCGGTTGGCAGGGCATGGTTTTTGGGGGAACGCTTTCTGCGTCAGGTATGGGGGTATCTTTCTCAGGATCCTCCCGCAGTACCCCCAGTCAGTATGCGGACTGCTGACAGGCTCTCTTACTCGGAGGTAGTCGGCGCCATGCTGGGTAGTGGACTACGCCACTTACCGTCACATATATTTGATGCCTCCATTAACGGGAGCTCGTATCCCGATGATGAGGCCTACCGGTATGTCATCCTCGGGCCAGGCTCGGGCTCGGGCTGCAGACGCCCCTTCTGCCAGCGGGGCTGGTGCATCTAGAGGTGGGGGTAGACCGGTTCCTCCGGTTACTCCGACCTATCCTCATCCTGGATGGCCGGACATGCCGTTCGAGTTGACGGGATGGCGTTTCGGGACTCCTTACCCGATTCCGCTAGAGCCTCCACTTCCTGACCATAGATATGTCAGGGATCCTGATTCGCCACCGGTATGATTTATAGTTTTGATTTATCAGTCGGGTACTTGGACATTCATTCCTTTATTGATAGTTTTGCCTTTGTATCTACAGCCTCCGGTTGAGTATGTGGACGAGATTCTCGGGGTGATGGCCTCACTTGAGGGCATGGTCCTTCGGAGAGAGACACATCTATCCGCTATGGGTGTGCAGGTACCGTTTATCTTTCTTGTATTTATCATATTTCTGATGACACACTGGTTTTGAGCATTCTTCTGCATTTGTAGAGCATATCCGACACATACCCCACTCATATACTGTACTTGCATCTGATTTTCATATTTGAACTGATGTATTGAACTTTTCATTTTCAGGTACCTCTTGTATATGCTCCGCCACGGGCCGGGCCACCTGGGTCCCCTTGGGGAGCTAGGCCATTTGGGTCTTCTTACGGAGCTGGGCCATCTGGGCCTTCTCAGGGAGCTGGGCCATCCAGGCCTTTTCGAGGAGCTAGGCCATCCAGGCCTTTTCGCGGAGCTCGAGGAGGGCCTGTCCGCAGACGCATGGCTCACGTTGTAGAGGCGGAGCCTGATGAGGAGGAGGAGGAGGAGGAGGCCACAGATCGTCAGTCCGAGACGTCTGCCGAGGAGGAGGGTTCCGGTCTTGGTCCGGGGAGTGGGGATGACGCTGAGGGGAATCCTGAGGACGACGGTTCTGACCCAGATGATGATGATGGTGCAGAGGCTGTCCCGCAAAAGAGGATGAGGAGTGCTTCCCATTCCCGCTCCCGAGGACATTGATGCTGCCGTTTCCTGCTTTATTTTCCTTTTTGCTAGTAGTTTGTAGCACTTTGCACATTGTTAGGCAGTTTTATTTTCTGTAAAACTTATGCCCTTGTTTGTTGTAAAGTAAAACTTGTACCTTTGTTCATTGTAAAACATGATGGAATGAAATAGCTTTTGAAAAGGTGTTTATATTTTAGACTTTTAGCATCGTATCGCATCATTGCACAAAAATGAAATTGAATGGGAATGTGCATTGTGTAATTACCGAGTCAGGTTGTGAACCGACGCAACAAACTAAGCAACTCAACTTACTAAAATATAACAGAACCTTAGGAAGTTTACAACTCGATAAGCAAAAACAACAGTGTTGACAACGTAAATAAACAAGACTTAAACAAAGATTGTTTAAACAGAAAGCAATGACTCGAAAACACGAAACACGTCCGTTCGACAAACAACTCGATAAGCAAAACAACAACTCGATAAACAAAACTCAGCAACAACAGAGTATACTTCGGACGATCTGGGCACCAGAATGCATCCGAAACAGAGGGAAATAAAGGCCTTTGACTCTCCCTTTGCATGGAAATGCTTAAACTTTTCCCCAGAGGGTGAAACAGGGCCAAGGGGATATACTGCAGCATTGCCGGCCACCTTTGGGAGCCGGCCGGCCAATTTTATGGAGAGAGACAGCTGGCCGGCCATTTTTGAAAAAGAGAATGGCTGGCCAGCCAGAAAAGGTGGCCGGCCGGCCAGTTATTCTTGCAGCCACCTGATTTTTGACACGTGTCCCCGTGAATAGTGTTTTTCCTTCTATAAAAGCCTCAACTTTGGGAACATTCATTTCATCTTAGTTTTAGACAAAGATGGAGGCGTTTCTCGCAGAAAATCTTACATCTTGGATCTCTTCTCTAGATGGCTCGGAAAAGCTGAACTTCCGGGGTTTCGGTTTGAATGCACTATTCACGCTGAGCCGTACTTCGTTACATCTCCCTTTTCTCCATGCCGCGGCAAGGTTCTGGAACCCAGTGACGCACGTTTTTAGCTTCGGCGGCCAAGAGGTATGTCCCACTTTCGAAGATTTTCAGGTTTTGATGGAGTTTGAATGCTCTGAAGTGATCTTGCCCCAGCTCCGTTTTGGCCATGCCCAGGCTTTAGGGTGGATGTGCGGGCTCACGGCGCATGATGCTCGATCACTGATCTGCGGTGGGGAACTGGACATCCTCGGCTTGATCCATCGTTTTTCCGACGCCGTTGACCGCAGCAACCATTATTGGCAGGGTTTTCGGCAACACGCCCTCTGCTTGTGTTTGTTGTCTCACTTTCTACTTTCCTCGGGCTTCAGCGGAGCTAGCATTCGCCTGATTGAAGTTGCCCAAGGTTTGAGAGAAAGAAAGAGCTGTATTGCCATGACCTTGGCCGAGACACTGATGGGCTTAGATTCTGTCTATCGCCGGGAGGCGAGTAGGTTTGCTGGGAGTCCACTGCTGCTGTAGGTAATGTTTCCCACCCAACCTTATATATATATTTTCTCACATCACTCGACCCTCAGGCTCGGTTTTTCTCACAAAACCCTTGTCTTACTTTTTCTCTCATCGTACATCTCTCTGTTCTTTATTCTCTCATTTTCCATCCCTCCCCCAGGTATGGTTAATGGACAAGTTGCAGGTTGTGGACTCTTGCCCGGCCTATTTAGCTCGAGGCTACTTCTTTCGGCAGCGCCTTGTCAATGCTCTTGACGAAAGGTGGTGGTTCGATTGGATGTGCAATTTGTCCGCAGACGGCATTGCTTGGCGTTGTCCTTGGCTCAACCTCCCGGAAATGAGCTATAGTATGTCCCGGCTGATTGGGATCCAATTGATTGGTCTAACCCACTGCGTATTCTATTTTCCGTTCCGGTTCCTGCGTCAGTTTGGTCATGATCAGACCTGCCCACCGGAGGGGATTGAGTACCCAGCTGCTTTCCCAGTCCGGGGTGCATAGCTCGCCCGATATGCCACAGCATAGAGGACTAGAGAGCTCCTGGCCCCTGCTTCTACTTTTAGTTGCACTTTGTCCGATGAGTGCTTGGATTGGCTCAATAAGGAGGCACAGGTTGGGCCTAGCCTGGCATCAGATGCTTCGTCCAGCTCTGGGAGGGGACGCAGAGATACTTGATTTGACTATGCCCCAAATTTATTGCTTTATTAGTATTTTCAAGTTTTCTTTATGAATGTACTAAAAAAGCAACCTCGATTGTATGCAAGAGCAGGAGAACTCTATTTTGAAATCAATGAAATTGAAGGTTATGGTACTGAAAATTTTCCGCTTTGGCCCAAAAATGGTCTTAGTCGTAAAAAGACTAATTTGAACAAAGTCGACGTGTATTAAAACTTTTCAAAACTATTTTCGATGTGGATCAGAACTGGACACGCCGAAGATCTGCACTGAGATGCACAACCCCAGATCCCTGCAACTGGAAAGTTGCCCCTAGTCTAAAGAACAATGCGGCACTGCACGGCAACGGAAAGTTGCCCCTAGTTTGAGTAACTTTGCACCATCGCAGCAACGGAAAGTTGCCCCTAGTTTGAACAGCACTGCACCGAAGATCGCGGTAAATGCTGATGGATAAAGATGGCTGAGATGATCAAAATGGACAGAGTTGATCGGGGAAAAGTTTATGGCTGAACTTCAATGTGAAGCTGCCTACGTATCCCAAAGATGGGAATCAAGCCTTACGTAGTTTAGGCTGAGGTTCACTCGAGTATTTTCACTCTCCTTTTGCGCTCTAACTTTTGCCAAGGCCGCCCTTTGCGGGTTTTCAACCTTGCGAGCTCAGTTTTTATATTTTCTAATTTTTTGTGCTCTGACTTTTGCCTAGGTCGCCCTTTCGGGTTTTCGGCCTAGCGAGCCTCTCAAGGATAGTATTTCTTCAACTTGTCCATATTGATCACTAAACGAGGGGAACCACCAGAATGTTGACACCTGTCTCCCCACTCAACCTTATCTCCTACAAAAGATCCCAGCTTCGTAGTTTTCCTCATTTTCACACTGA